CCAGGTGGTGTTTGTGGATGGGAACGGGCTCTTCCACCACAGAGGTGAGTTCAGGAGACGGTTTCTGTATTTTGGGCTCTGATGTCACACATCAGGGACTCTGAGAGTAATTGGCCCGATTATTTTGACCTCATGAGAAGCTGAAAGTGATCTCTGGGGATTTGATTTATTGCTTCGGGTCGGAGTTGCTCAGCATTCAGGTTCATTTGAGATTGATTGAGTTTTTTACATGACCTAATTACGAGTTGCTAACAAACCAGCTCCCTCCGCTCAAAAGTCGGCAAACCGTTTGGACTTTGAGAAGAAATCCTTCAGGCCGATTCACTGACTGATGAAAACAATCCGACTTTTCCAGTTTCTTTCTCCAGTTAAGCAAATATTCGACCAAATCCGCACCGAGAATCCTTTAAAATAACATAAATATTATTCTGTAGTCAACTTTGGCTGTTAAAAAGGGGGAAAATCCACCTTAAAACTTGAGTCCCAGCGAGTTAACCCACTCACAAAACCAGCTTTTTCTAGCAGATTAATCACGTTTATGTTGGATTTCACAAAAAAAATGACTTACTGAAGATACAAACAATCTTAAAAACACAATAATGCATGCTTTGTACCTTTTTTTAATTTTTAATTTAATTTAAAAATTTTTTTATTCCCATTTATGACCTAATGGGTCATGTGATTTGTATCTAAGGTCGGGGTGGGGCGGGTGGGTATTGATCACTGACTCTGTAATGTTCCTGTTTCCCAGCTTGGGAATTTGTTCTTAAATAAAAAACAGTGAATCACAAAAAAAACAAAAAAAAAACAATAAATGACTCAGTTTGGAGCTCTGCTCCAGGATGAGCCCTTAAAACTGAGTCAATGGGCTCAAATGGGGCGGTTAGCCCTGGTGCCCGAGGGCTTTTTGGCCCCGCCCCTTGACATGGACGGTGACCTTTGACCCCTGCAGAGTTCGGGCTGGCGTGCCACCTGGGCGTTTTGTCCGGAGTCCCCTGTGTGGGCGTGGCCAAGAACCTGCTCCAGGTGCACGGCGTGCTCCGGGACCAGGAGCACCAAGCACAGGTGAGAACGGCCCCAGAGCATCTAAACAAGTTATTTAGAGTTAAAGGGACATTTTATATTTATATTTTAAGTATTTTATTAGCTAAAATAATGTTCTTCATTTCTAAATGTTCCTCATTTGGTGTAAAATTATCTCTGACATGATCTGACTTCTCCTCATAAAGAAGAATTTCCTATCTGTATGTACACAGGACGGGTAAACACAGAGGTTTCCATGGCGATCCGCCATTTTGAATAGCTATAATGGGACATAAAGCACTAGTTTGCCTGTCTAGCTAATCCACAAAACATTTTCACGTGACTGAAACCAGCTCTAATAAAACACCTTTATCCAGAAATAATCAAATACAGAAGATATCACCACTGATTAGCACAGTTCAGCTTTTCAGTCTGTGATTCAGACTGTAACATTCGTTTGTTCGTTGTGTGTCCAGTTGTTAGCTAATGCTAGCTACGACATGTGCTAGCAATGCTAAGCTACAAACACAAAAACAAGCTACCATGGCAACATAATTCTCCATCTTGTTGGAGGAGGAATTACATGCTCACACTAATGATTCAGAGCAGTTTGTAGTTTCTTTTAAATCCCAAACCTCATCACCAGAGAAAACTCCAGGATGTGGAAGTCATGCTGTCATTACTTCTTGATTCCTGATGGCTAGCGTGGCTGCAATACCCATTTGGAAACAGGGGCGCTAGAGAGCAGATTTGTTAGGATGCAGAACACAGTTTCACCCTTAGATGGAGGAATTCCCACACCAGGTAGCATTAATGCAGAAAAAAGACACCAAAGCTGTTATTAAGGTGGTTCAAAAGGCCTGTTTGAGGGATAACGGGATGCTAACAAGCTGCTAGCCTGTGCTTTTAGTCTGTGTTCTGAAAAAAGCCGCAAAGCTGCTTCATCTCTGCTTCTTTCTGTCTGCAGATGAATAATTTAGCTGTTAGCTAACGTTAGCTACGGCATTGGCTAGCAATGCTAAGCTACAAACACAAAAACAAGCTAACATGGCAGTGTGATTCTTTATCTTGTTGGAGGAGGAATTACATGCTCACACTAATGATTCAATACAGTTTGTAGTTTATTTTTTAAACACCAGAGAAAAATAATTTGCTTTAAAAAGTGGGTAAAGGTCCCAGAGGGCGCCCCCTATTGGCTCCTCTTGAGCACAAATCAGGCTCTGACAAACGTCCAGACTGTTTAAAGTGAGGCAGCAGGACAGCAAAATGTGGGAGTCAGAAACATGCAAATGTCCGTTAGAGTGAGTCTGGAGCCTCAGGCTCTGAGGAAGGAAGGATTTGGGTAAAAGGATCCTCACCAGGAGCCAAAACAAGGAAAAGCTGCTGTTTTTTAACCAGGACGTCAGACAGATTCCTTTCTAAATAAATTATTGGCATTATCATTATCACTTATTTTAGACCTATATATACACATATAGTTACTTATGTATATTTTTATTTATATATTTATTTATATATATTTTTTATATATTTATATATGTATTTTTTTTATATTTATACTTATTTTTGTGTGGAATTTAATATATACATATATATGTATATATGTATAGACTTGTATATATGTATATGCTGTTGTTTTATATCTGGAGTTAGTAACAAAAATAATTTCCTTCTGAGATTATAAAAATATTTCTGATTCTGATTTAATTATAATAAACCATCCGAACCTCCCCGGAGTGTTTAAACGTAGCTATCGGGAACATCTCTCCATGTTAGTGTGTGTTAGGCCGCCGATCCTGAGAGGAAAATGCCGAACTTTCCATCTTTAATCTGAGTTTCTGATCACAGAAGAGAGAGCCCTGCCGTTTAAAGGCCTGATTCCATCAGAACGGGGGGGTGCTAACACGCTAATCCAATTCTCCAAAGGAGTGTCTCCATCTGCCTC